AGAGTTTGAGAGAATGCATGGGAGAGAAGGAGAGACAGGTACCCTTGACAGAGTCATGTAATGCTACATATATATATATACATACACACACACATATATATACACACACACATATGGCTTCAATTGTTCCCTCAAATGCAAACATTCATCAAACCCCAGTGTATGTTAGGCAGATATTAAGCATTAAGGGATACAATACACATAAGAAACAGACCCTCTTTTCGGAGTATTAATCTCTGGGCTCAATTGCCCATGTGCACATGTCTGAACATTCCACTAAGCCTCATCATTTAGACCATGTCTCCAGTCTCTTAGCCTTACACAGCAAGGACTAGAGTGGGATTCATGGCTCTATGGATTTTATTTCCCCCATAGGTCATGTGCCCTTGTAGGAGAAAAACTGAGAGTAGGGTGGGAGAAAGTACCCCAAATGAACCTGATGTTGCCTCCCCAGGGGGAATGATCATGTCTCACTTTTCCTCCATTCTCCTCTCGGGGTTTTGGGCATGCACGCACATGTACCTGGTGAGATTTTCAAGCCACTAGGGTCAGTACTTGTACCATGCAGTCGACTGTGTAGGATACAGCTGCCTTAACCTCCATGCCACCTGATTGACCGCATAGCTCTGCAGTTTTGAAAAGGATAGGATATTAAGGCTATGATGAGCACCAACTTTCCTACGCCTTGCCTCCCTTCTTCAGTACCATTAGCCACCTTGTGAGACCTCCTGTACTCACTGCACATAGGCCCTAGTCCATCGCTGGGGCCCAAAAGAAAGATAACTATCTTTCCATAGAAAGGTTACTCTTCTTGCTGTTGTCCTTCCCAATTCTCCCTTATCTATCTCACCCTAGTGAACCCAGCTCAGCAATTTGCTGAGAGGATCACTTAGCATGTTTCCCTTCTTAGGAAACTGATTTGCATGTTAATGCAAACTTCCTGGCACCTCAAAGACTGTTAGAGACACCTAAAGGATTAAGTCTAGTGGTGTGAACCTTAGGTGCCAAGGCCCAACATCTGGATTCATAATTTTAAACATATGGTCCAGTTCAAATCATGCCATCCAACAGCTGGCTGCACAGTTCCTGCCAGGCGTTAGTGCAGCCGCATACTCAGCATCGTTGTTGGATCAACTTGTTATTCTTCAAACGCGAACCAGTTGTCCTCACTGCTGAGTGGGAGATGAGCTTTGGATTAGCTAATAACAGTAACAGCTGTGGTCTCCTGCGTGCCGTGTGCTGCCATGAGCACTCCATCATCTCAGTGCCTCTAACCCTCATAGGGGACCTGTGCGTGGTGGCAAAACTGCTCCCATTTTGCAGATGTGAGCAACAGAAGCTCAGAAAGGCTAAGTCCTTTGTTCAAAGTCACAAAACTAGAAGCAAAGCCAAAGTCAAACTAGGTCTCCTGTGGTTTTGTCTCTCACGCTGTATCCTCGACCTTGGCAGAAGGAAACCATGAGGCCCGTATTAACTACCAGCAGTCACGGTAAGAAGTTATAGCAAACAGCATCCACTAAGCAGTTATGAACTAGGCGGGGGGGAAAAAATGCATTTGCATTTGATCTTCCCAGGAACCTAACATGGCGGGTCTTCGCCTCACACTTGTGGTGGGATGAAATGGCTGAGAACTTTAGTAACTTTTCCATTCTGCTGAGCAATGGAGCTGGGGGTCCGGCCCTGCTATATTCTTAGCCACTACTTTTTATTGCATGGTGGTTGATTCACTTGTGACTTTTGGCAAGTCCCTTAACCTCTAGGACGGGGAGGGGTTTTTTTCTCATCTGACAAATGAAGTCGTTGGCCTGGAAAATCGCTAAGGTACCACCCAGGGTTTCCAAACAGACCTCCCCCCATGATGAGATCAAGAAGTGGAGGCTGGCCGGCCTCCCATCTGTACTTCCAGGGTTTATTTACCCTGGGTGTCTCTGGCGACTCCACAGCTCGACCATATGGGCTTCCCCACTGTGGGATGGGCTCCGTGACAGGCTGGGGAGCAGAGGTTCTGGTGTCCCCAAAGGAGGGAATTAGCTCTGGGCCACCGAGGCCTGGCTGGTCCTCTGTGTCGCTGGCCTGCTGGAGGGCTGCAGTCCTTGGTGGACTCTGGGCGGCACCTGTGAGCAGCTGCTCCCACCATGAGAGCTCCATGAAGCAGAGCCCTTGCTGGCTGCCTCTGCTGCTTTTATTGCTTCATTATCTCTCCCGTCAGAAAACACAGGGCTGCAGCTTTGGCTGCAATCTGTTAACTCCCCAGCTCTCAGGGGCCCAGCCCCTGCCGAATCCTGCACATTGTGCTGTTCCTCACCCCTCTTCTCCACCATCTTCTTGTACATAACCTGAGCTCTCAGGTTACAGATGCCCTTCTCTTTTTTTCTGTTTATTGGCAGCATGACTGTGTCGCAGGGAGGTGGGGTGTTAGGAAAAATTTAGAAACTCAACTGGGCTGTGCTCACATTGATTGCTTTGTTCCCTTTGTTCTCAATGATTTTCAGGACAAAATGCTCCCCAACCTCCTCACCCCTGAGCACTCCAAAGCTGAAGGTTTGCAACTTTGATCTACAATCCTCTTTGGATAGTATTTAACAGATTGCTTTTAGATATGTGTTAGATATCCCACATTCCAAGTGAGGAGAGTGGCCCTGTTTTCCCAGTATTTTACAGAGTACCCGGGGCAGGGTGTGACATCATTTACAGAATGATGAAGCTTGCTTGTTTTCCTGCACAAGGTTAAGGGCTACTTTTTCATTTTCAAATCCTCTGGCAATACCTGTAGAAACTACTGGAAATTTGTTTCAAAGGACTTGGGGTTGTACCAACACTTCTGTTTTTAAAAGACTGAAAAGACCAGGAAAGTTGTTTCTCTTTATTTAGAGAAGGAGCTCCATCTTGTAATGATGATTTCTAAAGAACGAAAGGGAGACAATGTAAGATAAAAGCCTTTCAAGGGCATCTGAAGAGGTACTCACACTAGACATTACATGGACCCCATTTTTCTTTCGGGGTACAGGTGGCTTCTCTGCTTTCACAGGCCATGCAGCTCATCCCGGGCGGTGCTGAGCAGCTATGTCTGGGGCTCCTGGACTACATCAAGTACAAGGGGCAAACTGTGTAAACAGCACATGTAATTGCAACTGCAGCTATTACCCCAAGCGAACCTGATCTTGCAGCAACCTAATCCCTGGAACCTTTTCTCACACAATCCAGGGACTCAGCACCCCATGTCTTCTTGGGTTGTGAGCCTAGATTTGACCATGATGATGAGATTAGCGCCATTCACTTAGTTTAATTTTGGATTTGTGCTGGCTCATATAAGATCAGCACCACTTGATGATTGCAAGACTTTTTCCAGTGGTGGTTATTGGAAATCTCTTAAAACAGCCCACTAAGGTTCTAGGTAGGTTTGGGCAGTGAAGAAGAAGAGGAGGTAGCATCCTTAAGACAGACAAGCTATCGTGCTCCTCCACCGGGGTATGAGGCATCACACCATCATTCAAGGACAGATCAGCTCACTGCCCCTCAAAGAAGCCTTGTAGGACCTGGAGCAGAGCCAGAGAAGGGAATGAAAATGATGGAGAGGTTGGCAAGGTGTGGGGTGAGCACTAACAGGCAAGACAGATTAGGTTTTTGTGTCTGGAATGATGAAGACCCAGGGAATGTGGATCTAAGCCCAGAAATATATAGAGGAGGTAGGTGTGGCCATGTTCAAAGCCAGAAAACTCTACCAGGAAGAAGAAGCAATCTCTGAAACAATTTCCAAAATTCTCTTGCACAGTTGAGTGACCCATGATAAATAAAGCCCGTGAAGGGAATGACACAGACAGAACTCTCCCAGAGACCTGGGCAGGTAGGGCAATCTCTGGGAAGAGGCAAACTGTGAGATAATGACCTCACATAGCTGTCTTCACACTGAGCATGTGTCAGGGTTAGGAAATATCCCCCTAAAAAGGATGAAGTCTTCATGGTTGGTAATCCTAGGCCTAAGATGAGGGTGTGGGGGTGGGGACAGTCTGACATAAGGCAAAGAAAACATGAATGAGTTTTTTTTCTTCTTCTAGCATCTATAGAGTGCTCCTCTTGGGCAAGTGAAGTGATCTGTGCTTACCAGGTGAAAGGGTATTGTCCCATCAAGGCAATAGCAGATGGTCTAAACCATTAGGACTCTTGCTACAGTAGAGTCTTTGTAAGACAAAGCCAGGGCGTGAGAGAATGAGGGTCTGGATGAATCCAGGGATTAAGGAAATTGTGGGGGATGGAGGGAAGCACCCTGCTGCATTTGCTAGGTGGACTTTGTAATAATAATAGCTCTCAGTTTATTGTGTACTGTGTGTATAGTACATGGTATTAGATAATGTAGTATAGGCTAGTGCTGTATAATATATTAGTAGTACAATAGGATATGGGAGCCAAGATCTGAACCAGCATTTATCTGTCCCCAAAGCTTGCCCCTTGACCTCCATACATGATATATGCTTTTACTCTGTATTAGTCCCCAGAAAGGTGACATGAGTTGGGACTTAATAAGAACCTGTCCCTAGGGTTCAAGGCTAACATCCTAAACAACTGTGGTCTCCACTGGACTATACTTGCTAACATGGGGAAGACAACCAAACTGGAGAATCCAGGCTAGCCAGGCCAGACTTCCCATTCCGAGACTAAGAAACCTCCCCAAACAGTCCAGTTTGTGTAATCCCCTCCCTCACATGCAACAGCATTGGTCAAAGCAGCCACTGGGTCTCTTGTGACTTATGTTCCACTTCTTTTTGGGAGGAGGGCAGGGGGTGTGAACATTTTCCTTTCTCATCCTTAGTGGTAGTGGTGGATGTGGGGAAAGGGCCACCGCTGGGCCTCATTTCCCTCCAACATTGAGACTTGGACGTTGGAACATTTTTGCTACTGGCTTCTCCAGGGATTTGGAAACTGGAGAAGATGAGCTGTTAGAAAATGACAAATGATGAGCAGAAGCAATTTTCCTAATGGGATCTGGCCCAAAAAAACTTTGTCTTGGATGTAGATCCTTGTCTGCTCTGTTCTTAATTTATTCCTGCAGACCTGCCCAAGTGCAGTTAAAGTTAATGGAAAAGAGGAGACAGGAGAGCAAGGAGCCAGAGGCTGGGGCGCTGATGGTGAGAGCTGGATGGACGGGAGGTGTTTAGGCTGGAGTTCCCAAACAGCTGGGCTGGCGGTCATGGTGACAGGTAGACTATTCCACTCTTCTGGGGAAGACTGCTGCTGTGCCAAGAGGCCTGCCATAGGGATTGCTCAGCTAAGTGGGACAGGTCCTACCTGCCCAGGTCTCTGGGAGAGTTCTGTCTGTGTCCTCCCCTTCACTGGCTTTATTTATCATGGGTCACTCAACTGTGCAAGAGAATTTTGGAAATTGTGCTCAAAGTTGAAGAGAGAGAGATGCAGACAATGATGTCCGTGTTGACAGCCCCTCCAGTTATCCATATTTGGGAAGATCTTGATTTTCCTTTGAAGCTGAGCTAGTTTTTGACTCCATCATACTCCTAGGGAGTTAGATAAATAATGAGAGTGATTAGAAAAAATTAGAACATGCACATATGGAGTCCTACCACAAGCCCTTTGCATCTCTCACCTGGACTCTTTCATCCTAGCTCCTCCTGCTCTTCCTCTATTCTAGCCTCCTCAATTCTATAGAGTAGTGACCAATGCAAGTACTCGGAGTGCTTGTGTGACAGTGTGGCTCAAAACCCTTCTGTGCTCCTCATGTCAGAGGATAAAGTCCGAGGTCTTGAATGTGGTCTCAAAGGTCCAGTAAGCTCTGGCCCCTGCCTGGTGTCCAGTTAAGCCTCTCTGCTTGGCTGTCTCCCACCTTGTCCTCGCTCCTGCAAAGTGCAGTTGATTGAACTTCCTGCCTCTGGTTTCAGCCCTTGGGCTTCTCACACCCTGCCCTGGCCAATCCCTCTTTCTTCTTCCGTACTTGGCTTCTTCAGCTGCTGCTCAGCCTCCTGAGTCCCCTCTTCTGGTCCCCACTGGGTGAGAGGTCCTTAGTCTGTGTCCCTGTGACAGACTATGCACGTTCATTACCACTCAGCATAGGGAATTCAAATGTATTTTGATTACCTGCCTAGAACTGGTGCTCTGCAAATATTTTGGGAAGGAAAAGAAGAGAAGGAGAAAGAGATAAAAGAAGGGAGAGGAGGGAGACAGAAAAAGAGAAGGAAAGAGGGAGTAGAGAGAAAAGAGGAAAGAAGGAGAGAAGGAGAGAAGAAGAGAGTCCCAACTCCTCACTCTTCTGTAACCTTACTTAAGGAAGGGATTACAGCCATTTCTGTATCCCTGTGCATTTCTCCACAGTTCCCAGAGCATTCCTAGTAAGACTGAACTCAGCCTGGGTTGGTCCTAGACTCAAATTCTCTGAAGACTCCCCACTCCTTCACAATAAGAAGTCCTTATGGTGACCTACAGGACTGCTGAAGCTGGACCTGGCTTTTACCTCAGGACTGTCTCCTCTACTGTTCTCCCTTCAGTCTCTGTCAGGCCCTCTGACCTCCTGCTGAGCCTAAATCCTGCAATGCAGTAGGGATGATTCCACTTGCAAGGCCACAAAAATTGGTTCTGAGTGAAAAAAGTATATCTTTTTATTATAAAGCAGAGATTTATACATAGTATGTAAATGTATATGATATATCTATGCTTTTAAAATTTCATGGGGCAGGGCCAACAGGTGGTGTAACAGTTAAGGCACTGGACTTCTATATGGCCAACTGCAGGTCGAGTCCTGGATGTGGTGATTTTGCCAGGGGTGTGTGTTGTATTTGTGTGTGTGTGCATGCCAAAATGCTGTGAGGAAAATGGAGAAGGGATTGTGGTATGGCTGTTCCTCCTGGGGGGATGGGGGGTGACTTAACATTTTCTCTTTCTCTCTCTCTCTCCAGTGAACACACATATCTTATGGAAAAAAAACTTAAAAAAAATAAAAAATATAATAATTAATGGGGCAGAGAGCAATCACAAAAATAAATAAATAAATAAATTTTAAAAAGATTTTCCAAGATCTCAAGAGGAGAATGGAGGAGAGAGATTGTGGCGTGGCTATCCCCTGAAGGGTGATTTCTTGCTTTCTGTCTCTCTCTGTCTTACTGGCGAGTGCACATGCCCTGTAGCAAATACCTCTCCCCTTTAAAAAAAATTAAATTAAAAGTAAAAATAAAATTACAAAAAGACTCTTAGAAGGGAATTAAAGAAAAAAAAAAAGTCAAGAAGTCTACCAAAATTACGCCAGGAGCCATCAACCCCAGTGCCTTTGTACTTGCTGTTTGCTGTCTTGGAATTCTCTTTCTCAGATACTTACCTGGCTCGTTCACACCTCCTTCACTCCTATTTGTACATGTTATTTTCTTGGTGAGGTCTTTTCTGGGCATCCTATCTAAATAGCAATCTTTCATACTTTCTGTTTCTATTTTCTATTTTTTTTTCTTACCCTAGTCTATCTGGCACAGTATTTTTCTTGTTTATTAGCTAGAAGGAAAAGTTACTTGTTTGTTCACTGCTATATCTTCAGACCTAGATTACACTTCAGCACAGAGCAGGTGCTTAGTCAACATTTGTCAGATGAAGCTCGGGATGAAACTGAAGTGGAATAGGTCTTAGGGTGCCAGTAACCAGAGAGCCCCAGGCAGTAACTGCATCCTTTCTAGTCAGGAGTTTCAGCTTTCTCCCTAGCCTTGATTCATGGAAGTGCAAAAAAGGCAGCACAGCTGAAAGAAAGTCAGGGAGAGGAAGGCAGTCTGAGAGCCTAAGATACAACCTGAATGCACTGTGCTGGAAGACTGAGAATTAACTGGGCATGTCTGTAGCCTAAGGTCTAATGTATGCTGTGCTGAATGCCTGCAGGATTCGCAGGCTGTGGCTCAGCTTTGGAAGGGACGATAAGGAGCCTAGGAGTGCTGGGAACTCTACTAGCCCTGGCTATGCCTTCTCCTTCATCCCCTTCCCCAAAGTTCAGGGCCAACAGACTGGATGATGCCATCACCCTACACTACTTGTCTCCAAGAAACGTGTTCTTTTAGCTCCTTCCACTCACTGGCCAGTACCTGTCACCACAGGCTGAATGTTTGTCTTTCCTTGTCAAGCACAGAGAGTGCTTTCTGACCATTGTGGAAAACTTCATGGGAATAATGTTACCCAACTGTGTCACCTCTTTTTTAATGAGCGAAAGTATCCTGGACTAGTTTTTATTAGCTAATAAACTGAAATTGGATGCCAGGTTCTTATTCTCAACTGATTGGATAGTTACCTAACCATCACTCAGTAAAATCACTCAAATCTTTCTCTACAGTAGGGTTATGTATTACTTATGTCTTCCGCAACCTAAAAAGCCAAGGTCACTATTTTGTTAGTCTTATAGAGAAAGAAAGCTACATTCTCTCCAAAGAAAATTTTGACCTGAGTTTGTCCAGTCAATGTGTATATGCCAACAACTTATTAAAAAATTACTTAGAACTTCTATATCTGAATGTTTTTTTTCTCTTGAAAAGAGGACTTTTTTTTAACCCTAAATGAACCTTCTAAAATTGCTTTTAAATCTCACTGGCCCAGATTTCTTCTCTTTTCTTTTCTTTCCATTTTTCTCTTCTTTCTTTTTTTTAGAATTATTTTTTTTCATTTATTATCATCATTATTATTTGTTTAATTTGACTAGAGCAAGACAGAGAGAAAGGGAGAATAGGAAAGCAAGCCTCGAGGTCCGGGACTCAAACCGTGGTCCGTCACGTGGGAGTCCAACATCCTAACCACCATGCCATCTGCTGGCCCCTTTTATCCTTCTTATTTTTCTTTTATCTCCTTTTTCTTTCTCTTTCTTTTCTTTTGGACATTTACCTTCTCCTGACTCTCTTATCCTTTTCTTTTTCCCTTTCCTCTGCCTTGCTGTTATGTTTCCTCTTACTGTTTTAAAAAAATTTTCATTATAAACTGATAGACATCGAAAGAAATTTGAAAAATAATGCCAAAAAATACTACCACTTGTTAGAAAAAATAAACTATGTATTTAAAGTATTTTAATTAAAGAAGTCTCATTTCCTCCCTTTCTTCTTTTATTTTTCTTTATATTTGAAAAAACTGGATTGGCATCACACTAATTCTAGAAACCTTTTCTTTTCTCATGAATGTATTGTTGATATTTTCCCATGTATTTGATCATTTTTCCACAATATATTTTGAAAGGATGCTTAATAGTCCCTCATAGCAATAAGCTGTAATTTATTAACTCAATCTTGTATTGTTGAGCCTTAAGGTAATCTACCCCACCCTTTTTACTACTAAAAAATAAATAAATAAATAAAAAACAAAAAAGAAACTTTAAGGGACATCCTCAAACAACATAAATCTTTGTGCAAATTCTGACTTTTTCTTAGTATAAATTTTTAGAGGTGGGGTTGCTGGGTCATAAAGTATGAATGTATTTTACTCTTCTTAGATTTGTTAGTTCACAGGAGTCAGGTGCACTCCTCCACCCGCATAGTAGGGGAATTCCTATTGAGTCAAGAGAACTTTTCGCTTTTCTTTTCTTTTTTTTTTGGGTGGGGAAAAAAGGAGATTTTCGCTATAGGGCGCGCCTTCGCCAGACAGACAGAGACATAGAGACAGAAAGCGAGAAATCACTCCGGGAGGGGGGGGTGGTCACGCCGCAATCTCTTCTCCTCCATTCTCCTCTCGGGATCTTGGGCACACACGCAAACGCGCCGGCGTGAGTTTTAAATCACCGGGTCCGGGACGCGAACCGCAGTGGACTAAATGGGAGTCCAGCGACATAGCCATTACGCTAACTGCTGATTCCCTCCTTGTCTTTTCTTTTCCTTCACATTTGCTGCTGGCCTCTGCCCTCAAGGTTCCCTTTCCCGCTTCTTTGGGGAGACTATGTCAGGGAGCAGCTGCGTATCTACAAATCCCCATTCCAGCTCCGTTTGACTTAAGGTTAGTAGTCTTCAGAATCTGCTGAAAAATCCTAACATTGCCAAGTCCTGGCTAGAGTTGTCCTGGTGACAATAACAACAACTGTTCATTTATCTTCCACCCCAAATCTTCAGAAGTTCTCAAAATTCAGAAGATACTACATAAATGCATACTTTATCGGCTGGGACATTTAAATCCTGTTCTACCCAGCTGAGGAGTCCATATGGGCAAAGCTAATGGCCAGAAAGACTTCACATGAATCTTATTAAGAAATGCTTTCTTTTTTATCCCTTTTTCTTACCTGTCCTCTGCTTTCACTATATCCCAAATAATATTCGATTTCCAAAAGTCAATTGAAGCATACGCCTAGGACATTGACAAAGCAAGAGTACTAAACATGAGACCACAGGGGGCCAAGTGGTGGCACAGTGATAATGCAAATAGACCCACAGAAGAACATTGCTGGGTTCATATCCCAGGACCTCCTTGGGTATGCTTACCCAAGATCAGGCCAGCTGAGACTGGGAGTGGATCAAGGCATGAAAATCCAGTTTGTGGTACTATCTCTAGCTCTCATGCAAAAAATAAA